TGCTGACATTCAAATAATGGAGGTCTATGGCGCCCGAGACAGAAAGGTCCATAAAAGTCCACAAAAAACGTCCACAAAAAAATTTGTTTTTGCAGTGTCTCTGAAGGGAAACCTGAAGCTTTAACTTTAAGCTCTTCAGTCTGATAAAACTTTTTATTTTTTTGTTTTTCTACTAACCATAACACGCTTTGCTTTTTTCTATTAATATGAAAATGACCCTCCTCAGAAACAAGCGCTTTATGATTGTTTTAAAATTTTCTCATAACCAGTGAAAGTAATTGGAATCCTTTGCTGTTTCCTATTCCTGCATTTTTGGTGATTCTTATCCAGATTTTTGATTTAACACTGGAGTCTTTGTTTGATTCCACCGTAAAGAAATGTAACTGACTGTAAAAATCTACCTACTAATGAATAAGTTAAAGTAATCTTAGATTTTTCAGGGGCCATAATCTGAACCAGAATAGAGGGGAACAAAGAGTAAAACTAAATACCATTTACATTTTAAAGATAATTTTAGCATAAACCTTAAATGATGCATATTCATTATTTCAAAAAGATTTTTTTTTAATGCATAATCATCAGGTTAATGTGTTTAGTATTGATAAATTGTACTTACTTAAAATGGAATACTACACTGGAAAAATGAACTAGAAAACTTCTTAAATTTTGTGTATTTACGCTTAATTTGAGCAGGTAAATTAGATAGTTTGCCAATGGAATGAGTATTTTTACTCTTAAAATATGATAATTAGATAATATGCACTTAAAATAAGACAATGCAATTGTGTTTTCTTATTTTAAGTGTAAATTGTCTTGTTCCATTGACAACATGTCTCTTTTACCTCCTCAATCTAAGCTTGTTTTAGGAACAAATAACTTATCTAGATTTTGATTTTTTTCAAGTGTATTTATTTCAAATCCATACAGTTTATTATTTGAATTGCATAATAATACCTTTATGGATTTATTACACTCATTTGTATTAATTTTGAGTAAGTGTTTTTTTTGTTTTTAATACCAAATACATAAACCTGATGTTTATTTGAAATAAAAAAAAGCTTTGTTATACAGATGAGATGCATCACACTGCAAAAAATTTTGGCGTAAGAATCAGTGTTTATTTGTAAGTATTTTGAAAGATGTTTGACTATGGGAAGATTTTCCTACAGTTTGGGAATTTGGGGAGTTATTTTGACAAAAAAGGTGGACAGAAGACGCCAAAAAATATGAAACAAACCAAATCCAATCCAAAATCCATTACTCTAACCAGGAAAGATAAACACATTCACTGGAAAAAATCTAAATCT